TGTGAACATCTTCACTTTCCCAAAGTCGGTTATACCCCACGATTTTTTTCCCTTGTAAGAATATCATGCTATATATTAAAGTTACATTTAAGCCTCGATTAATGCGAATCTAGTTAATAGTTAATTGGATGCATGAAGCTAATTCCTTCATGAAAGCTTTCTTCATTCACAAGGCACAGAAAGACCAGGAGATTATTCCATCTGCCTTAATTATATAGGATAAAATAAACTAATTTTATTGCAGATTGATGCAATGTAAAATATTTTGATGGAAATGAAAATATATATGGAGCTGAAATTTGAAATGAATGAGGTTTAGAAATTTATTTCTGTAACAATTTCATAACAATATAAATCATACACACACACACACATCGAACCGCCTAGGACAAGGGCTCAATGGATTTAATTTGTCGATCATAGACCTTGGTATTATTATAACATAAAAAAAGTTTCAAATCTAATTAATATTAGAAAATAGATTACATACAACTATATAAGTTTAGGAAGTATATAATCAAATGATTTAAACTATTTTGATAGAGTATATTATCCTTAAACATACTTAATATAAGAAATTTAATATGATTTTGTGAGCCATTCGATCAGGACCCAAAAAGAAGAAAAAGAAAAAGAAAAAAAAAATGAAAGAATGAAAGATAAAAAACAAGAGATGAAAAATACCAAACTAGCTTATAAAATTTGATTTTCATCTTCAATTCCATTTTTATAATTGTCAATGCCATCATACCAAGCAGGCTCTAAATTTGTGAAGAAAAAAATGTGAGATTTTTCAATTTTGTCATTCACTAAAATTAATGACTATAATAAAGTGTTGTATATAAGTAGTTAAAACATGTCAATAATTTGTTGTAATTGAGGAGGCAAAAGATTTAGAGCCAGTAATTTGAGCCAAGCCCAATAGGACAACAAGAACCTACTTGAAAAATTAAGAGCCGGAGCCTGAAAAAATATCATTTTTTAATGGTTGGAGCCTGAATAGGCCCGAGAAATTTTGGGTCAAGCCTGATCGAGTTTGTGCCAAGCTCAAATACTCAAATAAAAATAATATTTTTTAAAATAAATAAATAAAATATAAAAAAATTAATTAATTTCTTAAGTTTTATGTCATTTTATACTAAAATATCATATATTTGAGTGTATTAGTATATGTATTTTTAAAAAAAAATTAAAAATATTTATATTTTCATATTTTTATTATTTTTAATCAATAAAATATCTCAAAATAATATTTAAAATATATTTTAATATTAATTTTTATATTTTAAGACTCACTTATTTTTTAAAAATAATTTTAAGTATTATATATCATTTGAGACTTGAGTATCTAAAAAATATATTTTATATTGTTTTGTAAAATAAGATAATTAATTTTAAAATAAAAAATTAAATTAAAAATAATTTTAAAAATAAATGTTGGGCATGTATGAATTCTCAACTCTACTAGATAAACATAATAAATAGAATAATATTCTTAAATAATCATTTGATTATCGTCCACACCAAACTTGGTTAAAAATTAAAAATAAACTAAGATAAATACCCCTTATATATAGGAGTTAAACAATATAAAAAACTTAAATAAAAAAATAATTTCAAAAAATAATATTTTACTCATAATTAAATTATTTTATTTTACATAATATATGATGACTATTTTTCTTATATCTTAAAAATAAAAAGTACAGTTTATTCAAAAGTTCTTAAAAACTTTGAATTAATTGGGGTAATGATTTTAATGTAGTGATCCAACAATGATTAAATTGAAGTTAACTTGATCTTACTTAAATATATAAATATTTATATATAATCATGATATAAGAAATATTTAAACAACTAAGACATTAATTTATGAATAAAAAAATTCATTACTAAATTATATATAATATAACAAAATAGCAATGGAGTTAGGTAAGTATAAAATTGATAAGTTATTTTTTATTTTTTAAATTCAAAATAATATTTTATACTTAATAAAGTTATTTAAAAATTAAAATTGATTTAAAAATAGAGAAAAATATTTTTTAAAAATTTTGGGTATTTGGGCCGGCCCTAATAAACCTGAAGTCCAAAGGTGTTAAGGTTGGATTTAACTATATAAACTTTTTTAATGAAATAAGATACTTTAAACTTAATATGAAAAAGCTTGACTCATCCAAATTACGGGCTCTGCTCCTAAGCGAATGATTAAGGAGCAAAGATGCACTTGAAGCCTTGATTGTAACTCTCACATTGTGAACAAAATAAAATAAAATTGTTAACATTAGGTGGTGTTAGGATAGATTGATTTGGAATCAAAATTAAAATTTAAAATATAATTTTTAAAATCCATATATTTTAAAATCCTTTTTTTGGTAGCATAAAAATTCATACTAAATAATAAGAATGAGCTGTCCTACTAGTATGACTTGTCATGTGTTTGGATAATATTAAAAGATGACAGTTAAAATTAGAAATAATAAAGGTAAATTATATGTATTTAAAATTTTAAAAGAATTGTAATAAAAAACTTTGATTTGAATTGAGATCATCCAAATAATGGATTATGTCTAAATCAAAAAACAAGTCCCAATTAATGGAATTAAACATAACAATAATAATGAATTGGTTTCCACAATAACTGCAATCCATATATATCATGCATCTAAAGGTGTATGTTGAAATACAGTGGTAACGAATAGGTTCCTGAAAATAATCAAAATTTAAACCAAGCCGAAAAATGAAAGTTGAGGTAAGTGATTGCGACCGACTCTATATGAATGCTTTGCATAGTGGAGCACCAAATGGATGATCATCATGAAAGATCCTTTTTTTAAAGGGTGCTATAATGGGAGCATGATCTCCTCATTTTGTCACTGCTTGTGCTTACCTCTTCCGGGCCCCAACCTTTTCATTTATTTAATACATATATATACCTCACTTCCTAATAAAATGTCATCATCATCGGTTACTTATATATATACATATATAAGTAATTAAGTTGTTCCCTTTATATATGTAATCATACACACAACATTTTTGCTCCATCTCTATCATATTGTTAATAAACGTTCTTTAGTTTATCAAATCAAACATAACCACCTCTTACGGTTGCGTTCGTTCACCTAATTTTTTGTCCTTGGGTTCTCGCTTTTGCTCCCTGCCTATCATTCTTACCTTCCCCCCCCCCCCCCAGAACCATGTCCTCATATACCACTTTCACTCTCATTCCTCTAAGTGGGTGTACATATATCGTTATTCTTCTTCTTGTATAGCCATAAAACTCGTAATATTTAAATTGATCATCTGTCTATTATTTTCATTCAAAAATTGACCCTTCCCTCTACAAAAAACAAATAAAATGTCCCCACATATCTATTTAATCATATCATTATGTTACAATATCATTTAGATTTTCTCTTCACTTGAAGAATAATATTGGAAAAATATCTTTATTGAACTCTATTTTCTTAAATTTATCTTATATGTTAGGACGATGAGATTACTCCAAAGTTCTCTTATAATTTGGAATAAAGAGAATACTTTCTAAAATATCACTTTTTTATGAAAATGAAAAACCACTCAATTTCACAATATTTAGAACATAAAACATCTATCATATTCTATTTATTATTACGTAATTAAAGTTAATAATTTGAGCTAAGTTTGATGGGTTAGTCCAAATATTTTTGAAGAAATTTAAGCCAAGCCCCAAATCTGAATAAACTTAGCTTAAATACTTGATTTTTTTAATTACTAAAAAAATGAAATTAACATTTACTTCAGCTTTCACTTATAATTGTCAAACCCCTCCCAAACTCTCAATTCATACATTTTGCACTCTTAAATGATGTTTTAATGTTCTAATAATGGTTTGTTCTTTGGGATATAGAAAAAGTAAATACAAGAGGTTAATTCATATACTTTTATTTTGACTCTTTCAATAATTGATCTCATTTTAATAATGATAATAAAAAAGGTATGTTGAAATGTTATGCTGCTTTTGAAATATTTTAATTTTTCAAGATAAAAATTGAAGTTGGCTAAAAATAAAATATTTAACAATTTAAGTATTTAGGCTAGTCCAAATAAGTTCAAATGCCCATGAGGTTAGGGTAATTTAAATTTAATCTAAATAAGCTCAGCTTGCATAAATTATCATTTCCTTACCTAATGATAACTTCCTATTTTTTTATTCAAAGACAACTTAAATGACACTTTTTTATTATATCCTATTACTTTTGTGTGTACCAAAATGGGAATTATTTTCTTTCAGAGCAATCTGTAACATGGAAGAAATAAAATTGTAACTATAGGAACGTAAATGACAATTTTCCAATATAATTACTTTCAGTACGATGCTCCATCTTGTTTTTTTTTTTTTTTTAAAGAAATCACATGTAGGTTGCATATACCACATGTAGGATCAAATTAAACACTACTGATATGTCAAGTGTAAGTTGAATTGACCTGGTATGAAAATAAAGTTCCCCATCAAATAGAATACTTGTGTTGTAGAAGAGGTATCTAAGTGATAAAAAAATCCGCAAACTCAATGCTTCAAGATTTTGCATTAAAATGTGGTGTTATATTCATACATATGTATAATTTATTTTGAAATCGCGGGAAGACCAATCACCTAGTTACTTCCACGATGGATGACGACAGCAGCTTTAGAATGATTTTTTTAACTTAGGCTTGTAATATTTCTAGCATCTATAGAAAAATGAGTCGTAAAACTTGGATAGATGAACGAACCCAGTCATACAAAATCATAGATATACTCATACATATAATATAAAATTCATATGAAGCTGCACGAATCATAAGTTATGAAGCAAGACTTGTGCAAAACATGAAACTCATGTTATATATATATTGGAAATTTTTCATCAAGATGGATTCTTTTATGCTTATATGTATGGCATTTTTGTAGGGTTAATTTACTCATATATCTTATAGAGACTGAATCTCCATGTGAATCGCTCACCCCTCACTGAATGTGAGCGCAAAAATTTTAAATCGATTTCCCATGGCAAATTGGTCGTAGCGTCAAAATATATATCTTTCATGTAGAATTGACACCACTCTGTTGGACCTTCATGCATGCATGTCTAGCCAACTAAACAGCAAGATTCTAATGCACAGAGGGAAGGGGGAAAAAAAGGTCACAACTTTAGAAAGTAGAGTGATATTTACTATCCCTGTTCATGAAATACATAGCATGAAACCCATACCGATTCCAGTTTTCTAAGCAGAAGCTTCTCTGGTTCATCCCAAACAGCTTGTGCTTGCCTCAGAACCAGACTTCCGTACATCTGACCTTGCTTCAAGTAGTTTTGCCATCAATGTGCCTTCTTGTGATTGGCCCATCACCTTAGAAAATTGTAATTTCCTCTGTCGTTTCACAGGACTAACGTTGCTTCTAACTACAGAATGAACACAATGAGCTCCCCTGCAAATATTTTCACCTCCTGTAGGCAAGAAACTTTTTCTGTCACTCGAGTTCAATCTCCTGATCAAGGGCCCATCACTTTCTTGTGCAACTTGTGCTGGTTCCTCCCAAACAGTTGATACCTCAGTCTCATTGATTAAAGATGTTCTGTCACTTGAATTCCTCTCTACAAACCTACGCTGATTTTCATCATGAGATAAGCTTGATTTGATTTGTTTTGTTTGAACTTGCTTTCTCGTTGAAATTTGGCCTCCTTTCTTTTCTTGATCTATGGACCTGATGTTGCCATATCCTTCACCCGAAGCTGATCCAAAATTTTTAGCATTATCATCGTCATGCACATTTACAGGTGCACCGATAGATTGATCCTTTAGGGGAAATGAATCCAATGAATAATACTGACAGGGATAAACTTCTCTGACGAGCTCCTCTGGGTAGGAGTTACCATATTTTCTCAGATTAACGGATCCCTTTGCTCTAAGAAATGTTTCAATGTCAAAACCTAACTTGTCAACAACTGAATTTATCTCCACGAGATCATCACCAGATTTGGCTTCCTTCATCTGCATACGCTCATCAAGCCAAGCTTCTGAAATATCAACTAGTAACCTATCAAGGTTATCTACACCTACATCATCACTCTTCTCAGACTTATGCTTTAGAGAGCGTACCTCTTGTTTGTAGTCTTTTATTCCTATTGCAAACTCGTCACACAAATTCTCAAGCAAGATCCGAGCTTTCCTCTCCCTTTCAAGCGCTCTCAAAGAACCATAAAACAAGGACTTCACTTCAGAAAGCTCCAGAGCCAGCCTACAATGCAGGCTTTCGGAATGCCTCCTTGATCTCGTCTCACCTTCTAGCTCTTCCTCGACTGATTGAACTGCGATTTTAAGTCTGTCATTTGCATTGTTCCTCCTGACAAACTTCTTCTCTGCCGTTTGCTTCGTTAAGCTCTTTATTTGCCAAATATTCATTTGCTTCTCTCGTTTTAATTCTTTGATCTGTGCACGAGAAAGATCTAGTTCCACTTTCAGGTCATTCACAACAGATATATTTGATGCATGTTGTTCTTTGATGCTCTGGATACGGTTAAGTACTTTTAGCAACCCTCTGGATGTTTTAAAGTTACAACAACTTGATTCTCGGATCCTACCTTTGACGTCCAAGGAACTTGTGGGTGTTACCTCACAATTGCATCTTGCCGTCTGTTTTAAGATGAAAAGCATCATTCTTGGTTTGAACCAGCTATAATGGGTAAAATAGCACTTAAACTCTCCTATATACAAATGTATTATAAGATGCATTAAAAATGATGGGTCAATGGTGAAAGGCGATTCAGTTTCAACAAATAATTGAAAACAATCAATGAAGTGATTTATTTGTCTCCCGTGAAACAGAGGAGAGATTGCTAAATGTATTTTTAGTAGAAGTTTGTAAGGAGCACGAGCTCAAAAAAGAAACTCATCTCAAAATACTAGTATGTTGAGTGGAAGAAATACTTGAATTTATAAACTACACTCAATTTGTGAGTCTCCCCAACCCGATGTAGGATTTGTTACAATGCCACTCCGTCAAGAGCTAACGTCTATGGTGGCTTTAGTATACTACACTTCACTTAGCCTCTTGTTAGTCAGGACCTTCCATGGATAGAGTCGGGAATAAGAGTTAAGCTTAGAAATTCTATTTAAATAAGAATTCGGGCTTAAAAAATTAAAGTTTTTAAGGAAATCTAGCTTTGGGGCTCAGCCCTAATAGGTTCTGAAAAAAAAAAAAGGCTTGAGTTTGGGTAGCTTTCCAGACCTTATTCCCCAAAAGATCAATGTTGGCTCAAGTATTATGCTATCAAAAAAATTGATATTGGTTCTTTTAACATTTATTTTAATACAATGTTCGCAGAATTTTTACTAATTTATTAAACATAATTACTTTGGAAAGTTTGTTCCTTGGTTTTGATTAATATTGTACTTGTATATACAAGTTTTGTATTTATTAGATTTGATAAGGTTGATTTGAATTGAAGATTTTTACCTTCATTTTAAAACTTGATCAAGATTCTATATTTGGATTTGTATTTATTTATTTTATTAATTTTTTTTTTAAAAATAAAATGGGCTTACAGATTTGACTATAAGCTCTTTAAATAAAGGTCAAGTTTTAAAAACTAGCCATTGTTTGGAAATTGGGCATAAGGGCTTGAGCCCTTAAGAGTCGAGCCCATAAGGGCCAGACCTGCCTGTTTCCCATATCTATCCGTGGGTAGCCCTTTTTGTAAGGAAAAAGCATCTTAATGAAAGCACCGATATAATGATTATAAGCTTAAAGAGAGAGCTCAAAAGACTAATCTGTTAGGTGAGATAGTCCTTTGACTTATAAACGTTACACAACTTGTGAGATTTCCCAATGTAAAACTCATTACAAAGTCCATCATCTAAGTATATCACACTTTGAGCTAAACAAAATAAAGTATTAAATATACACTCTCGACACCTTTTAGATGTAATTTTTGATTTAAAATATAGGGCATATTGTAATAATTAATTCATTTTTCCAATTTTATCCTTTATTGATTAGTATGAAGGTATTTAATGTAGTTGTATTATTATTTAAAGATAAAGATAAAAATAAAAGTATCTCACACTTTTTTATACTATTAAAAAATTAACTTTTGTTAAGATAATTGAAAGTAACTTATAATAAAGAGTGGAGAGAGTACATATCTAAAGTAGGGCAAAGCAACATAGAACTGCTAAAGATTCAAAAGCAAGCTTTACCTCAGCCAAGTTACCGTGATTCGAAGAGGATAGAGGCTGTATAGCGTGGCAATTTGTTCAACAGATCTATGGTGCTGAGCAAGTGATGCAGCAACTGTTTTTTCAAGTTACTTGCAGATGCCGGCTGCAATGAGGTACAGGGTAAGAATCAGGTTTTGACAGAAATCAGAAAATGCATGAAAAATCGCTGGAGAGAAAATTTTCTAACTCATTCAATTCCACTAGAATTATTATCGCTGTGACAGAAAACTAATGCAAGCAGTGAGAAGAATTCTAGATCAACGGCTAAAATACTCCTAAATATCAAAAGAGATCAAGAGGTGTTGAAACCAGAGTCAACAACAGCACGGGGTTAAGCAGAAAAATTTTGTAAGAGATAATTCGCTTGAAGTACCAGAAAGGTATAAATTACTATATATCAACGAAAATTACTCCAGATTGTCAAGAGAGATCAAGAGGTGGTGAACCGAATGCCAACAAGAACAGTGCAGGTAAGTATATATCAACAAGAAGAAGAGGGATATGAGGGGGCTAGCCATTGGTCCTTAACAATGCAAGGAAACAAATAAGACATTATTTGAGAACAAGCGTAATAGAAGACGATCGAGAATAAACCTGCTCAAACGATTTATCGCGGCGGCGGCGGCGGCAAGGTGTTGTGTAAACATTGGTTACAGCAGCAAGTGGGGCCTCTTGGTGGGGCAGAATCCGCCAGAGGCAAGCACAGAGGTTTCTGGCAGAAACCTTGGAAGTGGGAAAATGGAGGAATTCACGAACAGGAGTTTCGACAGTGCCATGATGGTGAGACGAAGCCTCGAGTCTCCAGGAGGGTGGTGGAGTACTAGAAGATGCTTTTCCCAGCAAAGCAGCCCCACGTTTCAGGTTCTGTATTATGAATCCTGCTGCTTGTTGTTGCCTCTTGCCTTCTCTCTTCAAACCCACTTTTGTTGTTTCCATCTTTTCCTTCGGTCTCACTCTCTTCTGTCTGTTCAAATTTCCAAGTGCCAGTTTGTCGAGGGAGAAGAGAGTGATGAACAAGACGACTCAGAGCCAGTGTGGGACCGCGGGTAATTTTGCAAGTCATTGTCTTGGCCTCTTGGGATCGTCTTGTCACTCTTGTCCCAACTGTGAGCCACCTCAGCATTGCCCTTAGTGTGTTCCACGAAACCAAGGCAAGGCCCGATGCTTCCAAGTTCCAACGGCTTATTTAAAATGTACTCACTTTTTATTTATAATATTAAAAAATACAACGAATCATATTATTTATAAACAGAAAATAGTATGATTTATTTTAAATAACCCATGTAATGCACTGCTTATTTAAAATATATAATTAAAATGAATCATACTATGAAATATATTTTTATATAAGAAATTATAATATTTACAAGTAATAAATAAGGTACACATTCCTAAGGCACAAAACTCAGGTTTTTAATACAAAATTTAAAACAACCCGTACCATGAACAAGTTAAAAATAACAAGTCATTTCTCACATCTCATACGAATGATATAGGGGGTTTACATATTTAGTTGAATGTCACTGAAGATTTGGATGATTCAGATTACTTTGTTGTAGGGGCAAAAGACCAGAGGGGGTGCATTGTTTGAACTGTGAACAGGTTGGATTGATGCCTGAAGGTGGACACAGAATCCCAAGTGGTCCACCACCACCAACCCATGAGTGTGTGCATATAGGTAAATAGTAATGACTACTCTTGAAAATTCACCCATCTATAAAAGAAGCTTGTCACATATATTACTACCTTCAATGTCAATGATTTGCTCCTCTCGTACTTTCATTTGTGACTTTTAAAACTTGAGTTCGATAGTATATGAAAGAAAATGATTTCTAAACAATAATTAATTTGACAAGTTTTTCCTTTATAAATAATAAATATTACTTGGAAATTTGTTGTGTTGAGGATTGCAAATCATGGAAAGAGATTAACTAATTTTTAGACCAATTCACTGGAAGAATTTAGTGGTAATTTCATCTTTCCAAAGAGTTTAATGCGATAAATGAGAAGGGGCATGCCTAACTAAACACACAAGAATGTTGAATGATAGTCTCCTTTTGCAAAAGAGAAAGAGAGGAATTATTTGAAGTATATTGTTGTGGCACGTGGTAGGTTAGTAACAACTTCCAGCCATATACAAGCCTCGAGATGAGAGGACCACAACATCCTCGTTGGACCACTTTTTCGGGTCCTCATGCCCTTCCTAATCTGCTGCTGTGGTCCCTCAATCCTCTTTTTTAACTGATTCCACCACCATCTTTATCTTTTGTCTCCAACTTGAATGATCAAATTCATTAAAATAATATAAACAGAAAAATCGCTCTAAATGCATTAAAAAAAAAAGAAAAAAGAACAGTCAGTCTAAAAGGATGTCTCCGGCTTGGTCGATGATTATGCAACTGTAAAAGCATACGTTTACTATCTAAGCCAAGTAAATAATAAACAGAGTCGGTAATTCAGGTTGAATTTAATGTGTTAACCGAAATCTGCTTAAAAAAAAATTAGGACCAAACTTGAAAAAATACAATATTTTTATGTTTGAGCCTATTCGAATTAATCCGAATACCCGAATAAAATTTTTTTATTTTTACAAAATATATAAAATGTAATAAATATTAATTAATTTTTAAAATTTTAGGTCATTTTATACTAAAATATCATATATTTGAATCCTATACATCATTTAAGTATTAAAAAAATATATTATATATTTTTAAAAATATAATAATTAATTTTAAAGTAAAAATTTTAACAAAAAAATAATTTTAAAAAAATAAAAGTTGGGTATTCGAGCCACCCGAAACTCAAAAGAATTCAGGCCAAGTTTAGTTATTTGGACTTTTTAAGGAGTCGAGACTGTTCAAATTTGAGCCTATTTAAGTCAGGCTTATTCAGGCTGAGTCTCAATATGTCCGGCCTGCCTGAATTTTTAGTTCTAAATTAATAAATACACCTTCTGAAAAAGTTGCAAGGCATTAATTTTAAAGATGGTGTGTCTTAAATTATAAAACATTTGATGTTGTCGAGATCAATTTGTGACTTTTTTTAAAAAAAAATTACTCTTACAGTGTGTTTGGATTAAAGAGAATCAAGATTTGGATTTGAAATAAATTTCTATCTCGACACACAAAAATATTATGAATTAAGACTGCCCAATTCATTTTTTTATTAGAATTCTTGTGTAATTTTAAATTTCCTTTAAAATTTTAGTCATTTTAAATATTTTTTCGCTTTTCAGTTTTGACTATCAATACATCTACAACTCTATATTTTCATCTCTTACTATCACCTTCATCTATTAAAAAAATAAAAATAAATTTACCGTTTTCAATTTTCATTTTTATTTTAAATTTCAATTTATATCTCTTTTTTATTGAAAATTTTTTAAATTATCCAAATAAAAATTTTAAAATATATAGATTTGAAATGTGAGATCATGATCCAAAATTTTAAATCTAAAATTTAAATATAAATCCACCCATCCAATGCTACCTTAATGAATATTTAAGAGGGAAAACGAGCAAAATAATCTTCAAATTTAAGTCCAGAAACATCTGAAACTTTAAATTTATTTTTAATGCAATATTTTTTAAATTTTTAAAAATATTACAATTTGATCTTTACTATTACCAAAAGTTCACTGTGACCATCACTTAACCAAGAAAATGGTAGAAAAAAAACATTCTACAATAAAAATTATTTGTAGACCAATCAGTTTAACTTTTCCTCCAAATAGTTACTCCCTCATGTCCTATACATTAGTCACAACCTAGAAAAAATTGGCAGGACCATAAAAAAAATATTTTATGGCACAAACATTCTACAATAAACTAGATACCTCGAATCGGCAGGAACTGATAAAAGGGGACGCAGTCACCTTAACGATGGTTCGTTAAGCTTCAAAATTTTCTTGTCACAGCGTGGCGATTCAAGTTTGCTTCAGTATCCTTCATATGACGAAAAGAAAACGGGGCACTACATGTCCTAGTAGTCCGTACTCTCACATCAGACCTGTTTTTCATACACAAGTCACAACTGTCTGTGCAGGCCATAGATTTGCTCACTGCTTATAAAATCAATGATCTGCACAACAGTATTGTAACTTCGTATATTTGTCAGTGAAGCCGCATTACTCTACCAAGTTCACTTCT